GTGTTTTTTTCTTTTTTTTTTTTTTTTTGTATGAAAAGTTGTAGTTGTAGTCATTTAAGTGCTTCAACTTACACTAAATGAGAAAGGTTGCCTTGCAACCTAGCTGAAATAAATAAGTTTCAGGTTTTTAATATTTTATTTCAGTTGATGAAATATATTTTTAATGGTTTTAGATTTAGTTATGATAATAATGCTGCTGTGGAGATCATGTCAGCAAAGGGGGATATAAATACCAATAATTCATATTCTTATTACCAACTCCACATTTATATATATATATTTTTTTTTAAGTTCAATTTAATCACAAACATTTTAGATTCATGATATAATTTGCATTTAAACATTTGTAAACAAATTTGAAAAATTCTAAACAGAAAATTATGAGACTTTTGGACACCGCTCCAGACACTATATATACATATTAAAAAAATAATAATAATTAATAAAAAACCTTCAGGTAAAAATGCGTAATAGACATTTAGTTTTGGACTTGTATATACGCCGGTCTCCCTACATGTTGGTAAATCAATGTTTTGATTTAAACATGACAAACAGTAGTATAATTACCCAACACCATCATATTGAATAGACACTGAATAATAAACACTGATAATGAATGAAGACAGCTATAGTAGTGTGGAGAGATTTGACCTCACCCCCGAGAGATTAAGGTTTGGACCCAGAGAGCGGATGACATCTTCAGTGAGGTCAGACTGTTCAGCATCCCACACGAAGCCAATGGTGATGATCTCTGGGCAGTTCATCAGCACACGGCGGATTTTTATACTCTGCCCACAGTTACTCTGCAATGCACAGATCAAATTACACTGAGCAAACGGTCAAAACAAAGCCATGCTGATGCAGTGCATAATAACAATACTGTTTGATTTGTATAGTGACTATGAAGGCCGGAAAGAAAAGCATGAAGAGAGATTAATTATAGTAATTAAATCAAATCGAAACACTACATGATGGAAATAATGGACAGAGAAGTAGGGGTGGAGTAACTAGTGTAAGTTTTAGGGGCAGAATTATGAAAAGATTTGTACATTATAATGAGACACTTATATCATATGTATTAGGAAACAGTCAGTTTCATCTAAAAGGCATCTAAAAGACAATGAGAGATTTCAGATGTCAAAGTAACATACCTATACAGTCATTTTAATTGTTTTAAACCTACAATATATGCAACTAGTGAATTGTTAAATAGTTACAAACCTCACAAATGTTACAAACCTGTGACTTTCTCTCTTCTGTGGAACACACATATATTACTTTTTTTTAATGACTTTTTTGATTTTGTGTCCTTTTAATTAAAGCCTGAAAGTTCCAGTCCCCATTCATTACAATTGCATAAAAAAAAAAAAGAGTGATTAGTACATTCTTCAAAATTTGTCCTTTTGTTTTTGTTGTGAAGTATTCTAGTATACTCAGATTTAACACTCGCACTACAGTTGCTCCTTGGCGATTCATATCATGCAAGTCAGCGGCTGCACGTCTTTGAGAATAAGGAACACAAAATTAATAGCCGTGGCTCCTGATGATATATTGAGGTCTTATGAAGTGAAACGATCAGTCTGTGCAAGAAACAAAAACATTATTTACTACATTATTACCTGTGATCCAGAGCCTCAGGCAAACGGTTCACTTTGTGAACGAATCATTCTTTTGAACTGGTTCTTTTTAGAGAACTAGCTGAATAGGTTCATCACATCAGACTCAATCAAAACTCACTTTCAGTCACTGCGACTAGAAATGAGCCGAAATTGCGGTGTATCTGATTCTGTGATGAACGAACTGATTCAGCTCCAGCTCCTGCAAACAGACACTAACCGAGCAAACAGTTCGACTCGGACTGAAGACCTGCTGATATGCGTGAACCGAACACTTGAATGAAGTGGCCAAATGAACGTTTTTATAGTTTCTCATTGTTTACATAAAAAGGTGAGCTGATGAAGACTAGTTTATTCACTTTATATGCTTTAGACACATAAAACATCCACGTTTCACATCATTATTGGGTGCTTTAATAATATAATTGCATATATGTGACGTCATTGCATGATTACTTTAAACGAATGGTTGAACTGAACCAGTTCATTGAATCAAACTGTCTGAATGAACCAGTTCGTGGAAAAGAATCATATTTCCCCGTTTGCCTGAGGCTCTGGATCACAGGTAATAATGTTGTAAATAATGTTCAGTTTCTTGCACAGACTGATCGTTTCGCTTCATAAGACCTCAATATATCATCAGGAGCCACGGCTATTAATTTTGCTTTCCTTGATATGCTTTTTTAATTCTTAAAGACATGCAGCCATTAACTTGCATTTTATGAATCCCCAAGGATCACAGTTTCGGCTAAAAGTCTTCTCTACTGTTCAACTGAAGAAAAAAAGTGACCTACATCTTGGATGGCCTGAGGATGAGAAAACTAACATCACATTTTCACTTTTGGGTGAACTATTCCTCTAATACAATGTCCATGAAGAGAGGAAAATAAATGCATAAAAACATTAATTTATCTTTCTATTTGGTTTCACTCTTAAAAAACAGGTTCAAAGCTATCAGAGCACAGTTTGAGTTTATCAGACCTGACAAGTACAGATCAAACTGTGATAAGCAACACCGAAGTAAACAGTTTTTAACTTTTAAGAAATAAGGCAAATACAGCGAAATCTGGTGTACATGCAACTAGTTTAAAAAGAAAGAAAAGTTGATATACAGGGCAGTTGCGGAGATCTCCGATGGTGTTGGCCGCCTGCAGCAGTTCACCAAATATGTCTGAACGCAGTCTGTCGGTCTTCTCCAAGATTCGCTCCACTTGTTGACTGACAAAAGAGCACAGAGTGCACAGAGAGGACCATTTCAGTCACTAAACCACTCTAGAGAGCAGACAGTGCAATACTGTACCGCTGACCTCTATTCCACTTTGTTAAAATTAAACCGTAATCCTTTAATGCAAACAGTGCTGTTTTCTGTGAAGCTTTCAGACACGATCTGTCAATTTCACATCCAAAGAATGCATGCAGGATGGTTAAAATGGGTCTGTTGGGTCCTCACACTGACACTATTCATAAAAACATACACTATTATTGTTACTCGGCTGAAAACATTTTGCTCTACAGGAGAGAATCCCTCACAGTAATTGATTTAATTCACTCACCATAGTGCTGTGGAGGACACATAGTGCACGAGCTCAGTGAAGGGAAGATGGTCTGATGATGCTCCACAGCTACGACAAACAAACTACGAAGGGAAAGAAACTTCTGTGAGGGTGGAGTGAAGTCTAACCAAGCCACCAAGCATTACAGAAACCTGCCATCGTAACGGATTGCCATGCACATTTGAACACAAACTGAGAACAAACGGTTAATGAGTAAGTTTTAGTGAAAATGGAAAACGACATCATAGTACCTGCTCATAGAGCGTCATGGCAAACTTCCGGTGGGTGATGCACGATTTGGAAGTACACATTTCTGTGGATGAATCAGAAACGAGGTGCAGGTGTATCCGTTCTAAAATGTTCTCCTGTCTCCCAAAGTTTACAAAACAGATGCAAAAAAAAAAAAACTATGATCAGTGATGAATCAGATTCTATTGACACAGATATTCTTAGCGCTAGCCTAATACTTCATGATATTTTTAAAAATCATTGTTATTATTAGAGACATCAAACTATCACAAAGTAGGTCAAACAACAACAAAAAACAGCTACTTAAAATAAAGCACATTAATGGCACCACATGGATTCAAATTATTCAAACAAGAGTAAACAATTATATCTGATTGTTCATACAATAAGTTGACAGAGCATTTAATACATATACTGTACAACACTATTACCATAAGAAACTGCTAATAAGGACAATATACTGTATATATATGTATACACACACTCTAATTAGACCCTAAATTTTTCAAGATCTTTCATCACACAAGTTTGAGATAGAAAAGGCTTGGATAGTTCACCCAAAAATTTGAATTCTGTCATCTACTGTAATTCTAAACCTGTATGATTTTTTTCTTCTGAGGAACACAAAAAAGACATTTTCTAAAAAAAAACTGATTTTTCAGTTTTCTCCACTGACTTCGAAAATATTTAAAAAAAAAAGAACATTATAGAACTTTGGAACAACATGATCGTGAGTAAATAAATGACATGATTTTCATATTTCTGTGAACTATCCCTTTAGCTCTGCTATGCAGCTTTTACTATAAAATGCAAACATTTAAGCAATAGCCTTAGACTGCAGAGCTCACGAAATCTGGCTTAGACCACTGCACACAAGTGAATGTCATTTGTGACCCTGATCAAATGAGATCAGCTGACACAGTGATGTATAAACCACTTTAACTTCCCAGAGATGCATGCAACTTGAAGCACTGCCATACAACTCCAGTTTAATAAAACCTTACTGACCTGAGAAACCATCTTTATAAAAAGATTAGGCTTAAATCTACAGTTAAGAAGACTCTCTTGCACCATGGCTAAACAGAGAGGTGTTTTTATCTCAAATAAATTGAAATTCGAAATTAAAGTTTTCTCTCTGAGGTCAGACATACAAAACACTCGGCTGCATCATCCATGAGACCCAGCTGGAAGCGCTGCTCATCTTTAAAGGTCTCGGCCAGAGCGTGACGCAGGGTATCTGACGGCAGAGCCCGCTCTCCACTCTGCTGGAACTGACAGAAGATGCTCTGTGAAAAGAAAGAAACAGTGAAACCTCACGTACAAACAGAAATGCAATATAGAGCTCCTTGAGAAAAATATATGTTGCAAAATGTATGATTATGAATGTCTGTGTCATGATAACTCACAGAACTGAGTAAGCCCAGACTCACTGTTTGTTTACGGCTTTATACAAAGACAACATCCTAACTATAATGGAAGTGCATAACTGACTTGAGATGTTCTTCATTGAAAGAATCTTCATTAACGGTACTATTACCTTTAGGATTTAAAGAACTAAATGAAATGTGACCCTGGAGCACAAAACCAGTCATAAGGGTAAATTTTTCGAAATGCTGGATAAATAAGCTTTCCATTGATGTATGGTTTGTTAGGAAAGGACAATATTTGGCTGAGATACAACTATTTGAAAATCTGAAATCTGAGACTGCAAAAAAATCTAAATATTGAGAAAATCATCTTTAATGTTGTCCAAATGAAGTTCTTAGCAATGCATACTACTAATCAAAATTATGTTTTGATATATTTACGGTAGGAAATTTACAAAATATCTTCATGGAACATGATCTTTACTTAATATCCTAATGATTTTCAGCATAAAAGAAAAATCTATAATTTTGGCCCATACAGTGTATTGTTGGCTATTGCTACAAATATACCCCAGCGACTTAACTGCTTTTGTGCTGCAGGGTCACAAAATGTTTCTTGTATCCACTATTTTGAATAATTTTTCCACAGAGCTTGACAAAGCAGTATGGAATATTTTTATCCTTAGGACACATGCTATGTTCTCTGAATTTTTGGTTGAAATTAGATCTTTAGGTCACCATGAAATCAAAACTGACAATTATTTGGACTTAAGTTTTATGGAATATTGCGGTGTTTATTATAAATTATTTGTGTGCACATTTTTTTCTCTTTTTTTTAATTCATGTGTCCTCATAATCTGACGTGTGTACCGACGCGAGGGCTAAGCAATAATCCAGCAATGTGTCACTCACATGAGATCACAGCAACTAATGATCCAATCAATTCCAGATGGACAAAATCAAGCTCAGAGCTACTTTTTTCAAGAGTTGTTTCACTCGGATATACGTCACAATAGGGAAGAACTAGGACTTTCGTAAATTAGATTGCATGCAAACTTTAAAAATTACAATAAATTTGCGATTTACAATTTGCTTACTAGGGTTTGAGACATTTGAGCCTTCATGTGCACACCTTTAAAGCGCAGAAAATACAGGCTTCGCCCAAGCAGAAATGGCCAGAGAGCTGTCGCAGGCTCCTCCTGAAGATGTCAAGCTGCCAAAGAACCTGTAAGAAACTATTCTTTAGTTTGTACCATATGCAAACATTTCTCACCCTTAATTATAAACTAATTAAAATATTCAGGGCACCTTTTACCACAACTTAAATGCAAGGTTGCAAGTTTGAAAAAAAAAAAATAAATAAATAAAATAAAATATATATATATATATATATATTTATTTAGTTAGTATTTTGTTGAGTTCAGTTGGAATGATGTGTGTCATTCCAACTGAATGACACACATCATTGTGATGTGTGAATTAACTTAATAACGTGTGTCATTTTGACTCAACTTAACCACTGATTTCTGCGATAACTGAATTTCTTTAGAAATTAAGTTGTAGTAACTTAATGAAAGTCTTGTTAACTTTGGAAATATTGGGTTGAGGATTTTAGGTTCCCAGCATGCTTTGCATAGGACTGGATGGGGGAATAAATGTTGAAATTAAGGAAAATGTATGTGTTTTTAGTGAAAGATCTGCTAGCGTTTAATGCTGTTATGTTTGACATTTGAGTTTCTGTAATCTTGAAGTTTACAAGATAACAAGATATGCTAAATTGCATGCTAAATAAGTTGCATTCAGCAATCAGTATGTGATATGACTGTGGTGTAGTGTTTCTTCTAGTGCACGTAGTCTATCGGATACACTGCACTAGAAGAAACACTACAATGACAGCTGTGGATTTGAGCTAAAATAGATCAGATTAATTACAACTCAAGTAATTGGAGATTTGTTTTTATGTTACAGATTAAGTGCCTGTAATAAATGTCCACTGATGGCAAGCTGAAAGAACCCAAGTGCAGTTTTGATAAATCCAAAAGTGAGCAGACAAACAATAAACAAGTCTTGACTTGGCAAACAAAAAAAAACATGGACAAAACTCACCAAACAGTGGATTACACAAACAAAACTAAACAATGGACAATGAAACATGAGGGCTATATATACACAAAGAGACTAATGACAAACAAGGAACTCCTGGAATAATCAAGACAATAAACCAATGGAAACACAGGACACATGACTCAAACCAACCAATCAGAAGAAGACACATAAACAAGACAACCAATAGCAGCATCACATGAGGGCAAGAGAAACACATGACAGGAACCATGACTATGAAAAAACAAAATAAAAGACATGAAAACAATGAACATGAAACAAAACCCAAATTTATGCCACTGATAAAGCTTTTATATGTTTTTATAAACATATAAAGGGTTTTATAGGTTTTATAAACGTATAAAGGGTTTTATAGGTTTTATAAACATATAAAGGGTTTTATAGGTTTGACTGAAATAATAATGCAATAACTGACACCCAGATACTAAATTGTGCAAAATGTTTGTCTTAAGTCAATTTACAAATAATGCATTCAGATTTGTGGAACTCAATGCACTGAATCTCCACAAATTAGTGTCGTTACTATGACAACCAATTTGAATGTGACAAGCAACTGGTGTCTGAAAAGAATTATATATATATATATACAATTTTTTTAATAGGGATTTCGCCTAGGGCGTCAAATTGGCTAGAAACGGCCCTGTGTGTGTGTGTGTGTGTGTTTTTTTAAGTCAGCATATTATTTTTTAGTGTATAAACACTGAAAAAAATAAAGGTTCCAAATGGGTTTTTTCACAGCAAGAACCATTTTTGGTTCACCTTTCGGAGAACTTAGTGGACCTTCACAGATGCTAAAACAGTTCTTATAAGCAAGTTCCCACTATCTCATACTATGAATACATCTGCGAGTATTTGCAACTTTTATTTGCATCAGCAGCATTACACTGAATATTGTACATTCACTATTTGCTACCTCACACACCTACGCATGTTTTCAATATTTACCAGAACATCACTCACCTGCACAGCACTGTTAAGGAAGCAGCTGTTCTGGCCTGGCTCGTTAAGAAGACCTTTGGTCAAAGCGAGAGAGATCATACTTCCCGGCTGGTAGGACTTGCCCAGTCCTGACCCACTCCAGGCACCGGTTCCAGCCATGTTACCCCCAGGCTTTTTAAACAGTTTGACCCATGCCATGAGGTCAGAGCCTGGCCCTCTCCAGCAAACAACCAGAGTTAATTACTGAAGCAACTTGAGGTTGAGGCATCTGTTTTAGGCAAAATTAGTGCCCAGAAGTCCCTGACAGAGAAGGCCAACTTCACAGTGCCCTACAAAAAGAGCAAAATAAACTGCACTGGATTGTTTTTCGACGTGCCGGATTTGACAGCACACCATTGGGATATAAGGAACCATTCAAAACAGTAGCTCTTTATTTAGCGTGAACATGTGACTTCTAGCCACAAGTTGCGGCACGTTGCTTTATCAGTCCAGCTGTGAAAGCAATGCGTGGATTCATCTGCATCCAGGCATGCTGGCAATAAGAGGATGGATGCAGATAGAAGAACAAATCCATTACTCTGCACAGCATTTCCAGCAAAGTCAATGGAGGTCACTGAAGGGGGTCGTTCATGAAGGCTCCTTGGGACAGACACTGCGGTAAAACACTGGCTAACAAAGGAAGACCTACAGAGAGAGAGAGACACACAGAGAAAGGTTGTGGGTGAGCGATATGAAGAGAGAAAATCAATGCTGTTAAATAGAAAGCTACTTCAGGTTACTACAGCCATTTTGCATGAAGAATGACAAACTCTGATGCTGTTAGAGTTAAGAGCTGGATATTCTTCTGCACAGCATGGTTGACTAAAGCAATAAGCCCCGTGAAGCCATGGTTTACAGTGAATTTATAACAGCTAAGGGGGCTGTTATAAATTCACTGTAAACCACGGCTTCACGGGGCTTATTGCTTTTATAAAACGGTTATATACGTAGTAAGGTTTCACAAAATAAAACGGAGCAAATAAAGTGTAATGATATTAATAAAAACAGTATTCGTCCACCAAACAATGTAGCTCCTCAGAAACAGTTGTGGTTGCAACAAAGTGGTTGCCGAGCAACACACAAACGTAAACAAAGGTGTATGTTACTTTGTAGAGTAATTTACAACAGCTTCGAACGCGGCTCAGCCAATCAGAATCAAGCACCGGAACTATCCGTTTTATAAAGATTATCTTTGGTTTTAGATCATACTCAGTGCATTTCATGAAAGGGTGGTTTGTTTTTTTAAACTCTTGTTACCTGAATTCTTCAGAATAGACCGTACAAACACTATCCGTAACTAGTGTATAAAATATTTGGGTATTTGGTGGTGAATTTGAATGAATTTGTACAATCTCATTCGTATGTTTTCGTGCAGTCTGCTTAAATAAGGCCCTATGATTTCCACGATGCGGACGAGCATTTGTGGTTAAAAAGTATTTAAATGTTATTTTTTTAAGAAAATGACTGATCGAGTATATCAGAAAAACACACCCAGAGAGTGCACGCAAACACTGTGATCTATGTCACACTAAGAGTCTCGATTTTCTCCAGATATCAGCATGATAACAAATGTAATATTGATTTTATACAAGTTTAATCAAGTTAGTATTAAGTTTCATTTCAGATGGCTGTTTTTGCTGTATTTCACCAGTTTCGTGATACACAGGACGGGGTTTCCTTATTGAATGAATCAGTTTTTTGAACGAATGATTCAGTGACTCACTCATTAAAACAGCCAAATGTTTCATTCCTGAATGAATCAATCTTTTGAATGAATCAATTTAATCTCAATGCCACCTAGCCTACTGGCGGCTTTAATTTCACATTTCAAGTATCTTTTCATGTTATTTTGCATCTTCAATCTTTTCAAATATCAATATTCAATGTTTTATGTTTAAAACAAAGCACTATTTATGCATTTGTAACTGCTGGTTAAATGCATCCATGTCCTCTCTGAGCTGCATTAAACAGTCTGTGTAAATAAATCTAAATGCCACTTCAGATTAAAAATATGTATTTGCTCCTTTTCTATTTTGAATTTACTTGTACTTTTACTTTCAATAAGTAAGTTTAATAAAAAAAACTTTTCATACTTAAGTCCAATAGGCCTACTTTAAAACTCAAGTAATATTCTAAACGGTGACTTTAACTTCTACCAAATTCATTTTCCGGTAAGATGTCTATACTTTTACTTAATTAAATGAATGAATGTAGAACTTGTTGCCGCAGTGTTGCAGTATATTACTGTAAATGCTGGACCATTGCCATGGCTACCACATGAAGATGATGGGCTGTAGGCAGATGCAGCACTGATGCTGAATTCCTGCATCAACATACTAACATATGCAGAATTGCATTGTATCTCACAGTATGAAACTAAATTTAAAAACAAAACTTTTCTGCAGAATTTGTGCGGTTCTTACAAGCTCTTTAATATTTAAGCTAGAGCACAATTATGATACCCTGGAGTTTACCCGTGTAAATATTATACAGCAAAGCGCAGTCTTATTAAATTGCTTTGCAGCTGTTCATCATAGAAGAACTAGAACAATAACTATTCGTGGTACTGTTATCTTTACGCTTTTTTAAAACGGATAATTAAAATACAGTGACATAGCTATCAGAAAAGCATTAACACACAGATTTGGGTGAGCTTATTTACATTAAAAAGCGCAGTGAGACTGCTGAATGTGCACAGCCTTTGAAAAAGCATAGAAAGTAGTTATGAAACAGAATCCATTATTATGTCGTCTTGTAACAGTATCTGCATGACATGATAAACAAAAGCAGAAAGACGCTCAGCATGCCGTTACACCTGTTCCTGCTCATGCGCATCAGGTGACCTGCTCTATGCCGCATTTTCGCCTATGGTGCCCAAAAACGCTGTCCGTGTAGGCAGCTAGCTGAGTTTTGAGACACAGTCATTAGCCTAATAAACAAGAACAGCTCACCTACACGTGTCCAGTATATTAGTACTCGTTTAGAAGCGTGTTTGTCCACATCTACTATAGCCTACATAAGGAGCGGAGTTCATAATGCGCGTGCAGCTCAAGTTACTTGCTGTCGGAATCCTTCATTGCTCAGCGTGACATAAAGCGCAGTAAACCCGTATGGTCAAAGATCCTCTCACATGCCTAAAGACAATAACGCCATACAACGCCATGCATTCCTGCTCCTCCGCACTCATCGGGTCCTGACTCCTGAGCTGGAGATTATTCTGCTGGATGTTGTGGAGTTGGACGCGTTGACTCCGCCCCGCAGGCACCGCTACACTCCTCAGCGAAGTCCGCAGGAGCAACCCGCATATTCTCACGAGACCCAGCAAAACATCCGCTCTGACATTTAGATCGTTGGTGATTGCAGCAGCGTACAACAGAATCATGACTTTGGCGTGCATATGATACGCATGTGTTTGGCGTGCATATAATACGCAGTTTCGCGTGCATATGATACGAAATTTGTTGGCGTGCATATGATACGCAGTTTTCGCGTGCATATGATACGCATCTACCCCACAACCCTAAACCTACCCATCGCGTAGCATATGCACGCCAAAGTCCATTTTGGCGTATCAATACCACGAGTTTTTGTTTTTATTTGGCGTACTATTTATACGCACTTTCATGATATCGGGTTGGAATCATATTTTTTTTTTAAATCATATTTTAGCATGATTATATCATAATATTATTATATTACAATTACTACCGACTATGAAATGTGGTGTGACAGAACAGATGCGATACTCCAGGATTTCAAACAGTATGATGTGGATGACCTCAGGGATATTAACAAAAACTTATGCAATTCTACACGAAACTGGAGCAAAATAATAGCCTATACACGCGAAATCATGTGACTCAAAGCTGATGAAACATGTAGTCTTGTTTGAGCAAACTGCTCAAATTTATGATTTTTAAAAAAATTAAAATACATATTTTTGGTTACAGTTTAGGGACCAATTTTCACTATTAACTAGTTGCGGTAACACTTTATTTTAAGGTGTCCTTGTTACACATGTACTTACTATTATAATTACATACAAGTAACCCTAAGCCAAACCCTAACCATATAGTAATTAATATTACTCAGTACTTAAATGTATAATTACACTGTAACAAGGACACCTTAAAATAAAGTGTAACCCTAGTTGCTTATTAGCATGCATATGAGTAGCATATTTATTAGTAGGCTACTAATAAAGCACATATTAATGCATAAGCATATTTTAGATCCCTTAATCCTAAACCCCTTACATAAACTTAACAACTACCTTACTAACTATTAATAAGCAGCATGAGTTTATTGAGGCAAAAGTCAGAGCTAATAGTGAGAATTGGTCCCCAAAGTAAAGTATAAGCATATTTTTCACATTTTATTTTGTGTCATGATGGCTATGTAAACATTTAGAGATCTGAGTGAAATGAATTACTGAAAATCACATCCTTGAAAATAAATCAAATACACACTGAGTGGGCCTTTTATATGTTAGATTTTGTTCTTGATTTTATCAATGGGCTACACACAGGCAGATTATATTTGCCATGACCTTTCTGTGTTTTAAAGGACAGCGGGTACACTTACAGTTAGTATACAGCTTCATGTGAATCTGTATGAAGTATATTTTTGACTATAATTAGCATAATTTAATTAGGTGGAATCATCCTGCAGGCGAGACCTCAAGAATATTCCATCAGCTTTAAAATAATGTGTCAGTCACTGCAATTAGTGTTTGTGCACTAATAATATCAAGCAAAAGCAAATGCCAGAACTGATAGCTTATAGTTCGAGCTATTATTTAAAAGATATTCAGTATTAAATCAACAAAATAATGTGTAATTCAGATTTGAAAACATAATAAATTAGGGATACACTTTTAAGTTCAAGTGACATTGTTACAATGTAATTACAAAAATAAGTACTTATTAAATAACTACAAGTACTTACTATACGGTTAAGGTTGGGGTTAGGGTTTGGTTTGTTGTTGGTTACATAACATCAGGTGTTTCCTAAATTAGTTTTGGTTGTTGTTGGGTAGTTATCTATGTAGGTAGTTAATGCTATTTATTATTTAATGGCCTTTAAGTATTCTACTGTAAAATGGCTAATGTTTTTCCACGCACATTTTCTTGAAGAGCTTAAAGGAAGCATTTGGGGACTGTCTGGAAGTCGCTGTGTTTACTGTAACTGTAGCACAGAGAGAGAGTGTCAAATTCAAGGCTACTTATGCCTCCTGTAAATATAGACATTGTCAGAGGATATGTCTGTGTGCTGTGGCTCTTAGTTATAAACTAAGACTGATTCGTCCAGAGACTGTTCTAGATGATGATGATTTACTATGCAGATACATGTGCTGAAAACACTGTTCGGAACATTATTATTATTATTATTATTATTGCTCATATATCAAAATGATACATGCTTACAGTTTTTTTCAATTGTTTACACGCAATTTTGAAAACCGGGTTCTTTTTTTCACAGTATAAGCACAATTATCCAAACACCACACTCAATTTGCATAATTCCTAGATTGTTTGCAAAATGACACACTTCAGTCAAAACATACACACTTCAGTCAAAACATACACCCTTCAGTCAAAACATACACCCTTCAGTCAAAACATACACCCTTCAGTCAAAACATACACCCTTCAGTCAAAACATACACCCTTCAGTCAAAACATACACCCTTCACATTTTTATTTTAGTGTGTAAACAATCGTAAAAAACTGTAATATATCACCGACAACAGAAATTTGAAATACATATGCATTTTATTTGCACAGTTTGTGTATACTACTTTTTAAGCTACAATACAAGCAAAGGTTCCAACACTGTGAATATAATGTTAAACATCAGGCAAAAGATACAAATGCATTTCACAAAACACATTTTCAGAGATATATATTCATAGTAATTTTTTTTACAATACAAATAGGATTTCAGGCATTCAGCACATTATATTTACATGGCTGTTTCCACCATTATCTTTTATCCCTGATCAATTTGATTTCAGATTTCTGATTTTACTTTTACACTACAAAGCTTTGTGAGTTTTTGTAGAATCTAGAATGCAAAATATTTAATCACAAAATAAAAAAAAAAATGGTAACTTTAAAATTATTTGATGCTGTACTAAATATATTATTTATAAATATGAATGCAAACTTCGGAAACCAGTTATGTTTCACAGTATAATCATGCATAATGTTAGTGAAAATCACTATAACAGCCTGGATGTATCAGTAAATTAACTCAATGTACAATTTATATTCGTATGCTTTCTATTTGCTTATTGTTTTGCAAATTGTACAAAGATAAAAATGCATCGTGTATCCATCAATAAATCACAATTAATTACTGCTTTTTGATGGTAATCAACACTGTATTATTCAGAATTTGTGGTTAGAGTTAGCGATATAAGCTATATATAATCACATGTACAATGCTATGTGGATTTTAACCCAATGCTGCCTCACATAAACATGTTCTGTTAAATACTCTTCAGTTCTGAGGCATTCATTATAGAAATTATATGTGCTAATTGCTGTCCGAAGAACAGCAGTTCAAAATTCACTGTTATAAAACGGAGAGTTCCAGTGCTTGATTCTGATTTGCTGAGCCGCGTTCGAAGCTGTTGTAAATGACTCTACAAAGTAACATACACCTTTGT